AGCTCAAAAAAAAAAAAACTTGTTTCTTTTTTTCCTTTTATAGTAAAAACTACCCCCAACCCACCATCTCCTTGTGATATTCGTGAGTAAAATTAACATTAACGAAGGCTGGAAGCAAATTGTATACCATCTTTGGCGCTGGCTCTAAAGAGATCCTTGCTCTTGTTATCACACCAAACTGTCCAAGTCCACCCAGCACCCCACGAAACAGGTCACTATTCTTCTCGTCCGAACACACCACAACCTCCCCTTTTCCTGCAAACAATAAGCCCGGCCCAAATATCATTTCAATTCCAATACATGGAAATCATTTTTTTTTTAATTTATTTTTTTTAAGCACAGACCTGTGACGACCTCGAGCTGTAGAACGTTACTGATCTGAGGCCCGTGTTTGAAAGCCTGCCCACTAAGCCCGCCATTCGAGAGTGTCCCTCCCACTGTTAGATGCAGATAATCAGTCCATGACTTAGGTGCTAGCCCGTGCTTGAGGCACTCGTTTAGAACATCTATCCAAAGTTCTCCAGCCGAAACCTCCACATAAAAGGAGTCTGCATCTTTGTGTACTTGAATTCCATTGAGGGTACGCATATTGATCACGATCCCTTGACGGGCCTGAGATTGGCCCTGGGCCGAGTGGCCGAGGCCCCTGGCTGCCACTGTCAGGCCCGAAGTAGGGCCCATTTGCCATACATGTCTTATGGTGTTTGATATGTCAGAAACTTTCCTTGGGTGGAGGACAGCTAACGGGTGGTGGTGGAATTGGTGGCCGAAGTCATCTGCTGCAAACTCGTTTCCCTCGAAAGTGAAGTGGCCGTAGATTTGGACTGAATTTAGTGAGGACTGCAGATTTGAGAAAGCTAGTTTCAATTTTAAGCTGGCCATGCAGCAAAGGATCAAGAGGAGCATCATGTTAAATTTTGCTTCTGCTTCTACAAGTGGAAGTTGAAAGAAAATTATTTATATAATTGTTATTATTTTTTTGGTCTCAGGTATATGTATATATGAGGTTGAGGCAAAAAACAAAAGGGTTTGTGTTTGTGTGTGGGATTGTGGTAGGGGAGTGGAGCAATAATGGGAGGAATTTTATTAGTGAGATGCAAGAGTCAAACCTATCTTCATAATTAAGAATATCCCTATAAAGACTTTCTACTAGGGTCTTTTCTTTTGTTCTTTTTTTTTTTTTATATATATTTTTATTTTCGATTACGTGGCGTAGGAGTAGAGTTGGCAAAATTCGGCGGGGCCCGCACACGGAGTTTTGATTGTGGTCACCGTTTTCAGCTCGGTTCTGTCGACCAGCTTCCAGCTCGATTTTCCTGTTTGATCAGTAGTCTTTTCTTGGAGGGTCTTTCTTTTTTGTTTGGAAGGACAAACGATTAACAACCAGATATGCCAAGATGAAAAAGGTAAAAGGGGTTACAAGAAAGGAGATTCTAAGAGATCTTGTTGCTTTTTCACACAGTTGCCACCATAAATTTTTTATTTCCACTTTTTTTTCCAATCCAAAGACAGCAAGATTTGAGCTAAATCCTAAAGCATTTTATCATGTTATGGATGATCTTGCCATTTACGGAATATAACAATATTTTTTTGTATAACTTTAGGTTGTAATCCGCTATCAAATATTTGTTTAGATTTGGTGATTTGAATGCGGTGAGTTTTAAATGAACTCCTCCTGAGAAATCATTGTTTATCTGAGAAAAGAATGTAGGGCATCTGAATTTGGTGCATATAGCAGTCGAAGGTTCACCAATATGGCACGTGATGTGATTAAATAAATTATGACCGCCACTTTTTTTAACTTTTATTTTTTAATAATAATAATAATAACAATAATAATAATAATAATTGTTGTTATTATTTATTGGGGCACATAATGTCGATGGTGGCTTATCTATAGGCTAGGAAAAGTTGAAGGGCCACCTCTCCAAAGTCTGCTCTTGGCCTAAAATGCTGACAGATTTTTCCTACCATATGGACCAACAAGAATATGATTCATTTTCATTCGCTTGACTGCTAGCAAACACGTTTCAATATTGATGATAAGAAATAAGCTTAAATTACCATCTTCACCTCACTTACTGCCTTTTCAAGTCAACGTGATGATATTAATACGAAAAATATATTATGGTAAGTATATTTTTGGCTAATGTCCATTAGGCATCACAAGGCTAATATATTATGGTAAGTATATTTTTGGCTAATGTCAATTAGGCATCACAAGAGCAAGTTTTGCTACTTTTTTTATATTAAACACATAGCATAACAAATAGTTCAATGGCTTCAAAACATTGAAAATTTCATCTTGGGTGATATTTTTTTTTTTTTTAGTTAGAGATAGCTCTATCCCATTGTTATTCAAGAATTGTATATGAGATTTTCACCTCATACGGCTCCTCAAGGTCATAAATTTCATAACTATAAATTGAAGTACCTTTTTAAGATTATTTATCTTAATGTATTTGTAGGATTGATAGAGACAAACTCTTATCTTCTTATCCTAGGGCCTAGAATTAGACCAATGCAATTCTATATGCTAGATTTATATTTCAAAATGCTTCTTAATTGATCTCATCTTCTAATAACTTTCACTTTTCTTTCTTCATTAATAATTTTGTCCTTCAATGTGTTACTAGTTTAATAAAGGACTAGTAATATTATTCCATGTAGATTGAGCATCATACATTGCAATTTTAATTCTATGAGTAAATGAATCTACGGGTGAAGACTCATTATATATATAGTATGATGCTCAATCTAGATGGAATAATATTACTAGTTTGACAATTATCTTTAGTCTCAAATTTTCTTATAGAAATATTACATGCATGATACCCAATCTAGTTGGAATAATCACATTATCAGTTGCATTGACAGTTATCTTCAGTCTCAAATTTGCATTGAAACGTCTATTCTAAGTGATAGCGGCGACAATTCATGGATCGAATTTCACTTGGTTGCGATACCATTACTTGTGCTTGCTTAGGGCAGGAGTTTTGTATTAACTTATCGTCATGCTATTAACTATTTTGATTCGAGTTTATTTCTTTTATATTTAAAGAGATGGAATAGAAATTAAAATTGATTCTTTAATCGCTTGTGTTGTTAATGTGATTTTGTGAATATTGTATTTTTTGTAGAGATAAGATTTGATATCTTAGAGATTTGGTGTAGATTTTTTAGGGCTTCCTATGTATCTATTTATTAAGCCTTTGTAGAACTCTGTACAGCAAGTTGGGAATGAAAATATTTTCACGTCTTTGACATGGTATCAGAGCAACCAATTTTTTTCTCTCCTAATTCTGTCTTCTACCCAACTCAAATACGCAGACATTTTTTCTCTCCTAATTCTGTCTTCTACCCAACTAAAATACAGACAGCATTGTATTTCTATCTCATTCTCTAAAACCTGCTGCTAGCCCACTTTTCTCTTTTCCCACTACGAAACCAACGAAATCATTGTTAAAAAAAAAAAGTAGCAGCCTACCCACTTTTCTCTTTTCCCATTGCGAAACCAAAAAAAAAAATAAAAACCATACAACATCCAATTTCTCTCAACGCATACAACACTCATGGCGTCTTCTTCTTCTACAACTGATGGCAGCAACATTATTGTTGCTCGTCGAACTATCTCCCCCTATGACACTACGTCATTCGATAATCCCGGCCTTCAGGTCACTCACGTAAAACTAAAGGGTGATATGAACTACGATGAATGGTCTCGTAGTCTACGCACGGCGTTACGGGCACAAAAGAAATTCGGTTTTCTCGACGGATCCCTTCCGCGTCCGGCTGACAACGATGAGCTTTTCGATGATTGGCTCTCCAACAACTCTCTCTTGGTCTCTTGGATTATGAATAGCATCGAACCCCAATTACGGTCTACGATTACCGAACCGAATTATCCTCGTGATTTGTGGTTGTCTCTCCGTGAGCGATTTACGACTGTCAATGGCCCTCGTATTCAACAATTAAAATCTGATCTTTCTAATTGCAAACAAAAAGGCGGTATAATCGAACAATACTATGGTCGGTTGACGAAATTATGGGATGATTTGTCAGAATATGATAAGCCCTCGATGTGCTGCTGCGGTAAATGCGAATGTGATCTAATCCGAGTGGGATCGTCGGCGCGAGGCGGAGAAAGTTCACCAGTTTTTAATGGGATTGGACGGGAATTTATATGGCGCCCCTCGTTCTCATATCTTGGCCCTTGACCCGCTACCGTCTCTCAATCGAGCCTTCTAGACGATGGTTCGTGAAGAAAGGATGCGGACGGCACTACAAGACCCTCCACCATTTGAAGCAGCGAGCTTTGTTGTTCGAACAGCAGCTTCGGGCGTGCTCGGCGTCTCCCCTAACTCGACGTATGGCGTCCAGTTCACTCCCGGTGCCCAGGCTGAGGGCGGCTCATATGTCAGCACTTCCTCTGCTACTACTGCTGGAAAGAAAACTACCCGATAGTGCGTCCATTGCGGGAAGTCGGGCCATCTTGCCACCTCATGTTTTGAGGTCATCGAGTACCCCGAATGGTGGGGGACAGGGGTTGGTCGCAGTGGGGGTTCAGGTGGTCGAACCGGCGGTCGGGGTGTGGTGGACGCGGAAATGGTCCAATGGCTGCCACCCGCGGGGGTACAGCCCACGCACACGTGGCTTTTGCGCATGGCACTACGGTAATTGATTCTAATAACAGGACGTCCTCCTCCTTGAGTGACTCCGATCGTGCAGCTATCTCTGGCTTAACTGATGCCCAATGGGAGTCTATCAGTCACTTGGTCACTTCAGCCCGCAACAGTGCTCCATTATCCGGTAAGCGTAGTCCTTTTGAGTGGTTGTACGATAGTGGCGCTTCGCATCACATGACAGGCTTCTTGGATTTTTTTTCTGATATTCGAGACATTCCACCACGTTCTGTCCAATTGCCTAATGGCACGCTAACCACTGCGTGCAAAGTTGGGACAGTTCACCTTGGTTCTCGTATTATGTTATATGATGTTTTGTTCGTTGACAGTCTTCAATGCAGCTTGATACCTTTATCTCGGTTATTGGACCAATCTGGATGTATTTCCACTTTCACTAATAAATATTGTGTTGTTCAGGACCTCACATCGAGGACGGTGATTGGAGCGGGTGAGCAGTTGGGGGGACTATATTTCTATCAAGGGACGATCGCTGCAAACACTTCTCGAGTGACTTCGATTTCGACACACTTGTGGCACCAGCGGATGGGTCATTCCTCTTCTACTGTCCTTTGTCAACTTCCTTTTATCGAGTCCAGTTCTTTAATTTTGAATAAAAAGTGTGATGTTTGTTGTCGGGCAAAGCAATCTCGTGCTAGTTTCCCAATTAGTCATAATATTAGCAGTTCGATATTTAATTTGATACACTGTGATCTATGGGGACCTTATCGGGTGCCTACCTTTAGTGGCGCTCGCTATTTTTTTACTATTGTTGATGATTATTCTCGTGGTACTTGGATTTTCTTATTGGATGATAAATCTTATGTCTCCTCTACTTTGATGAATTTTTTTGCTCTCATTAAACGGCAATTTAGTGCATTGGTTAAAACAGTTCGCAGTGATAATGGGACTGAATTCACATGCATGCGTGATTATTTCCACCAATAAGGGATTGTTCACGAAACCTCTTGTGTTGGAACCCCTCAACAAAATGGGCGAGCTGAGCGCAAGCATCAACATATTCTTAATGTGGCCCGTGCTCTTCGCTTTCAGGCCCATTTACCGATTGAGTTCTGGGGTCATTGTGTTCTTGCAGCTGGCTATCTGATTAATAGAACGCCCACACCAATTTTATCCGGCAAGACCCTTTATGAGATTTTGTATGGCAAACCTCCTGACTATGCTCATTTGAGAGTATTTGGTTGCTTGTGCTACGTTCATAATCAGAACAATGATGGTGACAAATTTGCAAGTGGAAGTCGAAAGTGTGTCTTTGTGGGTTATCCAGCTAGTCAAAAAGGTTGGTGTGTTTGTGACTTAGATAGCCACAGTTTTTTGGTCTTTCATGATGTGGGGTTTTGTGAGTCCGAGTTTCCGTATTTGACATCCCCTGATACTCCCTCTACACCACCGTTTCATGGCCTCTGGCATCCGATGTTGATGAGAAGGGGGTAGATCTTGTTACGACGGGTGTTGTTGACAATAGGGCTCCTACGCCTACTGATGATAGCGGGGCCTTGCTTCTCCTGGGGAGGTGCTCGGTCGTAGTCATCGAATCAAATGTCCTTCTTCACGTCTTGCTGATTTCGCCTCTCACACTATTTGCTCGTCCCCCCACTCTGGCTCCTCCATCACATCCTCGAACTCGGGTACGCCTTATCCTCTTGATCACTATGTTTCTTGTACTTCTTTTTCATCTGCACATAAGTCCTTTCTGGCTGCCGTCACCTCTGCTGTTGAGCCTCAGATAATTTCCAAGGCTGTTAAAGACAGTCGTTGGCGATCCGCTATGCAACTGGAGATTCGCGCTTTGGAAAACAATCACACTTGGGATGTTGTTTCTCTTCCATCTGGGAAACATGCGATTGGTTGTAAGTGGATTTATAAAATTAATAACTCTGATGGATCTGTTGCGCGCTATAAGGCGCATTTAGTTGCCTTAGGTAATCGACAGGTTGAAGGGATTGATTATCAGGAGACATTTGCACCTGTTGCCAAAATGGTTACAGTGCGGACATTTCTTGTTGTCACGGCTACTCGCCATTCGGAGGTTCATCAGATGGACGTGCACAATGCATTTTTACATGGGGATCTGACTGAGGAAGTCTACATGAAACTTCCTCCGGGCTTTCATTCTCCTGAGCCCAATAAGGTATGTCGGCTACGCAGGTCCCTGTATGGCTTAAAGCAAGCCCCTCGGTGTTGGTTTGCGAAACTTGCTACTGCGTTGCGTCAGTATGGTTTTCAGCAATCCTATTCTGATTACTCCTTATTCGTCCTTCATCGTGACTCGTTGAGCTTGCATGTTCTGGTATATGTCGATGATCTTATCATTTTTGGGAGCGACCCCACCTCTATTGTTGCATTTAAGGACTATCTGGGTCGATGTTTCTATATGAAGGATTTGGGTTTATTGAAATATTTTCTTGGCATTGAGGTTGCTAGAAATTCTTCGGGCATTTTCTTGTGCCAACGGAAGTACACTCTTGATATTGTGACCGAGACCGGTCTACTTGGTGGGAAACCGGCAGACTTTCCCATGGAACAAAATCACCAACTTCCCTTAGCAGACGGTCCTCTGTTTTCTGACCCCGAGCGTTATCGTCGTCTCATTGGGCGATTGATCTATTTGACAGTTACTCGTCCAGACTTATCCTATGCAGTTCATACTCTGTCTCAGTTCATGCAGCAACCTCGTCAGGCCCACTGGGATGCTGCTCTTCGGGTGGTTCGTTATTTGAAGGGTACTCCGGGTCAAGGTATTCTTCTTCGTTCTGATTGTGACTTGCAAATTTATGGTTGGTGTGACTCTGATTGGGCGACTTGTCCCACTACACGCCGATCACTCTCGGGCTGGTTTGTACAACTTGGTCATTCACCTCTTTCTTGGCGCACCAAGAAACAACATACCGTGGCTCGGTCTTCTGCCGAGGCCGAGTATCGAGCCATGGCGACCCTTACTTGTGAGTTGAAGTGGTTGAAGGGTTTACTTCACAGCCTTGGCGTTGCTCATTCTCAGCCCATGCGGATTCATTGTGACAGTCAAGCTGCTCTGCGCATTGCTGCTAATCCTGTATTTCATGAGCGCACGAAGCATATTGAAGTCGATTGTCATTTTCTTCGTGATGCTCTTGTCCAAGGTCTCATTTCTGCCGCTCATGTTTCCACTCATTCACAATTGGCGGATATCTTCACTAAGGCCTTGGGAAAACGCGAGTTTGATTTTTTTCTCGGCAAGTTGGGCATTCGGAATCCGCATGCTCCAACTTGAGGGGGGGTGTTAATGTGATTTTGTGAATATTGTATTTTTTGTAGAGATAAGATTTGATATCTTAGAGATTTGGTGTAGATTTTTTAGGGCTTCCTATGTATCTATTTATTAAGCCTTTGTAGAACTCTGTACAGCAAGTTGGGAATGAAAATATTTTCACGTCTTTGACATGTGTTATCCCGCGGCCTTAGAAATAATATTGAATTTTGTGTTGCTTTTTGTCAATCATATTCGTACATACACGATTACTCTGACACCCATGAAAAAACACATTATATTACTTGTATGCTTTTAGCAGGAGTCATATGGAATTTCTAGAATTGTGATTAATGAAATGGTGCAAAGTTTTTATTTTTTTCATTTTTCTATTTTGGGAAAACGAAGTTAATCTTGTGGATTTGGATAGTAATTGAGTAATATATTCAGTTTTCTGATTTGCAAAGATATTATTCTTCTTGGAAAGAATAAGAATAAGAATGATCCAACAAAAAATAATATTATTCCATGAAAGAAAACAAAAAGCCTGTCAAGGGAGTGTTGCAATACTGGGAAAAAAATATGGGGATTCTCAACTTTTAGATTGGTTTAAAGAGAATAATATGGTTTTAGTTGGAAGGGAAAAAAATAAGGAATAAAAGTACATTAAAAATTTTCAAATACATATACCATTTTCTAAAAAGAATATAATAAGCCTTATTTCCTGTCTGAATCTTCGTGCCGACATTTTCCACAGTTTTCGTGGGCGACGTATTTTGGCGGGTCTTATATCAAAAAATAACCAGTGTGCTGTTCTTTTTCATTCTTTTATGATAGTTCTATTGTATACAGTTATGATTATTAGAGATGCCCTTATGTTATATTATCGTTTTGGGGCAGTTTGTCGTGTCCTCTAGTGGAGTGTTGGCAAAAACTTTTAGATTTTTTATTTCATTAAATTGATTTATATTTAAAAAATATACCAATGAGTCAATGACACTTTTGGTACATTAACTTACAAATTGATGTTTTTTTATTAAATTTCACCACTTCGTGTACCAATTGTGATAATACATATGAGTGTCAAATTGAAAATCATAAAATGATGATTAATTTAATATTATGTAAAAAATTAAAGATGGATAAATAATGAATATTTTATGCAGTTTTAATAATAAAATGACATTAATACTTAGTAAAAAAACAGAAAAAAAAAAAAAAAAAAAAAAAAACAATGATGATGGGATACTATACCTAAGAGAGTAAACCGGTTGAGCAGGTCGGTCAAATAAGCCGAGCAAATCACCTGGTCGAGCAAGAGCCAAACGTGTGGCCGTGGTCGAAAGTCATAGGAACAAGGAGCATCTGGACTGGAAGAAAGATTAAAGGGTGATTTCAGGACGAAAAGAGTAGGTCGAGTCAGAGCCCTCGGATAGCCTGGTCGAAACTCGACCTACAACAAGAAGTCGAAAGATATCAAGCGAATCAAACCCCCAAGTGCGGAGGACACGTGGCAGGGACTGTCTGACCCCTATAGCATAACCATCTCTAACACCCTTCAGTGTGTGTTGTACGACCGGGCAGGCTCTGGGCAGCCTTGTAGAAACAGATATCTCACCCCTATAAATAGGAGTGAGACTTATAATTTCAGCATGACATTTTTCCTATTATACTTTTGAAAATTGAGTAGAGCTTATATTGACTTAAACATCGGAGGCTTTTCACCGGAAAACCTCTCCGGTGTGAGAGTTTTTGCAGGTACTCGGCGTTCTGCCGGCGAGAAAGACGTAGCTGAGCTGATTTCCAGCCGGTTGGATTGATGAACACTAAATAGAAAAAAAAAATCATAGTTAAGAAACTTTATTAATCTAGGCATTTCAAGAAAAAAATTAGATTTTATTTTTTTAATTTAAAACAATTAGCATTACAGTGGTTAATCTACAACTATATCAATTATTTTATATTTTTTTAATTCTAATAAAGTTCTATATTAGGTAGGAATAGAATAACTGAATGAAAATTTTTAGAAAGTTTAATAAAAAATTATTTATATCACATCACATAAAATAAAAATAAAATTATGTTGGGTAGAAATGAAATGATTGACTAATTTTTTTAATAAAATTTAATTATAGATTTAGATCAACTATTGATATAAAAAATGGTAATGAAAAATTAATAAAAAAAAAAAGAAAAATATAAAATAAAATGTATTTTTTTTCTTATTTAGTAACTAATTATTATTTGGCGGGAAAATCCTATCGTTTTAAGTAAATACAAATTGTTACACACACACACACAGGTTGTGCGATCCACGAATTAATAATGATAAATCATATAAATTAAAGTAATAAAAAATACTAATTATTATAAAAACATTTTTGAATATTAAAATTAACTTTTATTTGTTCTTATATTTTTTTATGATATATAATGATTTAAAATATAATTATAACTTTACTTCACCATTCTAAAATAATTATCATTTTAAAGTTTATGCTAGAATTAAGAAATATGAATATTTAACATATTCAAATATTATCAACAAATAATACTAATTAAAACACTTCTCTTTCCTTACTCATAACTTATTACATTATTGTTAATGGACGTTTCCGACCAACGGTTAAAGAAATAAGTAAAAGAAATAAAGGATAAGAAGACGACGGAGAGATACGGTTTAATTACGATTTTATTATCAGATCACTGGGTCGGCCTCTCGTACGAGGTCGGCACTTGTGAAATCCTTACAATTCTTACAAATATTTAGTACAAGTCTAGAGAGAGAAAGTAGAGAGAGAGTCTGAAAGTTGGAGATTCAACAACCCATAAATAAATGAGGTGGGCTGCTATTTATATTGCCCTTAAATGTGGCACTATTCAGGTACTGTTCACCGGTCTTGTCGTACAGTGTTCTTTCAGAGCAGTCCGGCGTCTCCCTGACAGGTATTCAATGTAATTTGAGGTTTTCCTAATCATTGCCTGCTAGACATTTAATGCACACATGGGGGTCATTTAATGCTGGCAAGCTTTGTGTCTTGGCTAGGGGATGTAGACCTGCAGGCTACGACGCCCTGTCCAATCGCCAATGATTACTTTCCAAGTGACATTATTATATTACTATCGGACCCTGCGCCGGTTTCTGGGGCAACCGCTCTGAGGCTTCAGGTCGGCTCCCGAGCTTATTCTACTCTTCTGGCCCTCTGGAACCTTACTTCAGCCCGGCACCTATTTTAGGTCGGCACCGGCGTTTGAGGGGTACAAACGCCGGGCTCGTGGATGGACCCGCGGGGATGTCAGGGTCAATTAAACCTGGAGTTCAGCTCGGCACTAGCACTCGATCGGGTCTTCAGTTTGGCTTTGGGAGTCGGTTCGGCTTTTGGGGGTTGCCTTTTGTCCGGTTTCCTTTCGAAGTGAACTGGGATGTCAACAATTATATTATTTAAATTCTTAAATAAGTGATGCTAAAATTAAAAATTTTGACCATTATTATAAATAAAAAATTAATTTATAAATAAGTGCATATTATTTTAAAGTTATAAAATTTTTAAATTTTTAAATGACGTTAAAATTATTTTAATTTTTCAATAATTTCTAATATTATGTCAAACTTTTTATGAGGGGGGAACTTTTGGGTGGTATTTTTATTTTAATTTTTCTTCGAAAGATTCATATGACAATTCATTCTAAGCTAACAATTTCATTGTTGTTTGATAGATGACTTGTCGGTTTATCAACAATGTACACTATAAATATTTTTTTTTAAGTTAATAATTTATATGGATAGTTCGTCGCATGATCATAATTTATAACAATATATACTATAAATATTTTATTTATTTTCTAACTTTATAATTTAAATAACAATTCGACAAATGAAAAGTTACTTATCATTTTAATATTGCATATCCTTGATCCTCAAAATAATTGTTTATTATATATATATTTATATTTATTAATATATATTTTTTTTTTTATATTTTCTGCATTAATCTTGTAAACCCATGAAGGATAACATACTAATTTCTATTTTCGATACATTCTATTATGTATACATTTATATTTTATTATAAAAATAACTTGAAACTAATTTCTTTTTTTCTTCTTTAAGACCATTATTAAATACTAAGTTTAAATAGAAACTAAGTAGAAAAAAAAAATCATAGTTAAAAAATTTCCTCATCTAGGCATTTTGGAATGTATTTTAAATTTCATTTTTTAAAAATTTATAAATATTTACCATTGGACTGATTAATTTATAATCATAACCGTTAATTTATATATTCAAAACACATAATATTATAGATTACGTAGAAATTGAAGAGTTGATGTAAATTTTTGTAAAGTTTATTTTTAAATTACTGATATCTCATAATCAAAAATAAAATAATAAATAGTAGGTAGAAATAAATTAATTGAATGAGAAAAATTTGAAAATTTTAATCAGTAGATATAAATCAATTACTGATGTCATACTACTTAAAATAAAAATGAAAGTCTCCAAAAGGATGGTAAAGAAAAAGTTTACTAACGAAAATAGAGTAAAAAACTGGTAATAAAGAATGTTTAAAAAAAATTCTTATTTGGTTACAAAATATTTTTTTGACAGGAAAACAATAATATTTTTAAAAAATACAAACACTTCTCTCTCTCTCTATATATATATTAAATTACAAAATGTCATCCACATAAAAACAATTACGAAGTCAAAAAATTGATGAAACTTGCAGTTTGTAGTAGGTAGCAAGGGATTATTATTATTCTTTTCCCTTTCCATTATTGATTCTTATATCTGCCCCCAGAAAAAAGTTTGAAAAAGACAAATTTCCCCTCAAATAAAATCTAAGTATAATATCACCCCTTTCCTTATGGCCTCACAAATTGCCATATTTACCAATCAATTCTCCAGTTGGGACCACAAATATATACTGTGAGGAAAGCAAATGGCATTGTACTCGACAGCAAAGCATGCTAACCTCCCACCAATATCTCCATCAAAATTCTGCTCATATGATTAAAAAGATAATAATTTTAATCTTTGTGACACAATATATGCATGCGACAAATTAAATATTCAACTGCTTTCTGAGAGCATTGTGGCTCGCGATTCAAGTTGGGAGTTGTCTTATTATGCACATTATGTTAATACAAAAGAATTTGGTATAATCCAATGATTCACCTTTTTCATTAGGCTGTAAATGATTGGACATAACTCGAAATAAACGACAAGAATAGCAATTATAATTGCATGTGCAATTATAATTTGGGACTATACTTCGCACCCAATAAGTCCTATGCCTAATCTTTTAGTTTCATGAATTGCTTTCAAGAATGAGACGGACCATCCATTATTTTAAAGTAATGAACAGGGCAAATACCATCTCACACAGGTTAAAATCACTTTCAATCTAATTGGGCATTTCTTTAATCTATATATATATATAATTGCTAGGAAATTTCATTAAATTTTATTCCAGTAACAATTAATAAAAATATGAGTTCATTTAATAAAATTCTTGTCAACATTTAATAAAAATAGACACATCTTTTAATAAAAGTATTTATGATATATCCAATAAATTAGTTACACAAACCAAAGATTATTATTATTAAATATTTAGTATGTAACGGTTTCACATACAATATTAAATACAATCTATTTTTTATACTATATAAACATGTCCTAATTGACGTTTTGATAATATAAAGATACTAAGAGAAGTTTTGTCCTCCAACTAATATATCTACTTTGTATTATAGTTACTGAAATAAAATAAAAATAAAAATAATAATTGATCAAATATTTATTTTATTTTATTTTTACTAATGATCAAATCTTGAAAATGTGATATTTTCATTATTTATAATTTAAAAATTTGCACATATTACTTATAATATTTTATTTATTTGTGCATGTACACATGATGATTACTAGTTTAAAGTTAATCACTCGCACGGGAGCATTCGATATTGACACTTGAAAGTTATGCCAATTTTTAATTTACGTGATATCATTTCTGTTACCACTAATCTAAAATGTACTAATGGGGCAAGTTAATGGGGGCAGCAGAATAATTGAAGGCTTGAAGCTATTACCTAATGGTAAGCAGGTTTAAGAGACCCACCTATCATTTAGGACTATTTGGAAAAATTAGAGAAGTTTAAGTGGACCCACCTATCATTTAGAACTATTTGGAAAAATTAGAGATTTAGTCATGTAAGTGGATCCAAATTGAGGTTTAATCCTCTCCGATGCCTACTTTTGGAAAATGTCCCGTAAGTGCCAAAAATCGTGAGAAATCGTCCTCACACTGGCTACTGTAGGTAATTTTCACCGGCTGCCGAGGTGGAATTTGTTTGCAATTTTTATTTTAATTTTTTTTTCTTTTTTTTTAATTAACTTATTTAATTAAATTTTTTATTATCAATAATTATGTTTTTATACTAATTTATCTTATTAAATTTTAATTTATTTTTTTATATTAAAAAAATTACTAAGTAAATAAATATATTAAATAATATAATAAGTAAATATATTAAATAATATAATTTTAGTTAACATATTTAAATATATATATTTAATATATATATTAAATATATTAAAAAAATAAATAAATATATACTAATTAAATGAATTTATATTAGATAAATATATTAAATGATGTTGATATTAAATAAATAAATATACTTAAATAAATATATTAAATATATTTAAAATAAAATTAAGGTAAATCAAAAAACAACATAAATGATAATAAAATTTGAATTAAAAAAAATACTATATTTAGTAATTATTTATTTTAATTTCATTATTAATATACGAAATTTATTAATATGTATTTTAAAAATAGAAATAATTAACTAAATATGTAATGTTATTTTATTTTTAGTTATATGTTATACTTAATTATATTTATTGTATTATATAATTTAAAAGATATATATTAAATATGAACTAAAATTAAATAAATTAATACATAAACAATATTTTATTTAATTTTTATATTTATATTATTTGTATAATTATTGATTATTGTAATACTTATTATTTAAAAAATTTAGTTTTTATTTTATTCTTTAATATTTAAATAAATAAATAATATTATGTTATTTAATATAATTATTTATGAATATAATAAATAAATAAAAAATAAACAATATATTATTAGCTTAGGTCTACAACAGCAAGCAGAACAATAATTTAGCAAAGCCATGAAAGTCAAAAATCACAAATCCTGAAAGAATGTGTACATCTGCTAAGATATGCATTAAATTTAATTATTTTCCGTCAATACTCACAACTAATTAATCCCTAATCCACATTTCACAACCTCAAGAACCCTGTAATGAAATTCACTGCTACGTGGCTAAATCAGGAAAATTCCCCAAATCAAAAAACAAAATTTGCCCTAATCCCCAAATCAAGAAACCCCAAGTCTACCCCAATTCATCAATTGACAGCCTTCTCGAACTCCTCAAACTCTTCACCAATTTTGCATCACGAAACCTTACCAAGAACTCAGCCATCGCCTCCAAGAACAACGCCGCCTGGTTCACGGTGTTGGCATTCACGACGTCGGCCAAGACGCTCCTCCTCAGCCTGTTCGCGTTCACCACCACTCCCACCAGCTCATCCATCTCCTCCGCCACCGCCTCCCCTACCATCCTCCAACTAGGGTTCGCGATTTCTCGCCGTCAACGAGAAACGAGTTTGCGCCCGGCGGTGGAGGCTTCGGGTGGAACAACTTGCTGGATTTGAAGACCTTAAACCAGATACCCATAACTTGGAAGATTTCTTAATCAACATTTTGATCTTCGAGATTCGATTTACAATGGCACAGAGATTTACAAATTGAAAGAAGAAAGAAAAAAGAAGAGTCTGAAGAATTTTGTGCGAGATCTGATGCTTTTTTTTTTGTACAATCTGATGCCTTTTTTAAGGTAAATTTTGATGAGTTGTAAGGGTAATTTAGGAATTGTATTCACTTTATGGGGTTAATTTGGTAGTTTGATCATATAAATACTGTACAGATGCAAATAATCTCACCTCCAAGGCGAGATCAAATAATCGCCAATTCTCAAGATAATTCCCATTTGGGTCGCGGGCCTCATCTAGTCAGGCGTGCCACAATCATGGAAAACAAATGTAAGACTATGTCCAGATTAAGCCCATAATCTTGTCTATTCTTCCCCAGCAAACGTGCTCTTACAGGACTAAATCTCTAATTTTACTATTTATAGTTTATGAGATTAGGGTTTGTGAGGGGAAGATGAGCAAACACAGAGAGAGATGAGAGAAAAATAAACTTGAGATTAAAATTGAATGAATGAATGAAAAAGTGTGTTTACAATGTGTGGAGCAACTATTTATAATTAACTACTCTTTTGATTAGAGTTGTCATCTGTATTGTGACAACTTTGACAAAACTAAAAATAAATACATAAGAGTAATTTTACAACCATGTATATAATATTGTCAAAGAACAATGTTTATATATAGCTACACCTCAAACACACACTAAAATTTTGGAGAGGTCGAGAATAATTTAGTAAATGTGCGTGTTTTTAGTGTGTGTTTGAGGTGTAGCTATATATAAACATTGTGCTTTGTATTTTTGGGAACAACCCTCATTTCCCAACTTTTAAGTTGGGAAATCCTCTCCATTTTCTCTCTTCTCTCTTCTCTTTTATTTTTTTAATCTTTGGTTGGGAGGTTCATGACTATTTTCCGACGAAATTCCGGCAAGTTTGTTTTCATTCAAGTTTCGAGCTTTATTCACTATTTTCGTCCGAGCATGCTATGTGAGAGTAGGTACCTTGCTTAGGCCTTACTACTTCGACTTTGTCTTTCGAATTGTGTGTTTATGCTCGTTTCTTGGTTTTTTTTAGTATTATTACTTGCTTACGTGTGTTTGGAATCTATATGTGCTTATCTTGTGTAGAGATCTCGACTTTGCTAAAAACGTGATGATCTAGTGTTGAAGGCTCGTATTAGATGACCTAGGATCACTATGCTCGTATGTTTTCTCTTGTTTATTTTTCTTTTTCTTTAGTCATGTAGATTCCAGTAGACCAAAGTTTCGATTTTTCTCTCTATATTTGCATCTTTCATTATTTGCTCTGGATTCTTAGTTTAATTTCATGCAAATCCAATCCCTTCAAGCAAGTAAAATGTTTAGGACCCTATTTTCGGTTATGTGACTTTGACGACTAGGTAGTGAACGAAGCTCCGAACAGCCTTCCTTTGAGAACGACCCGAGTCGGGTAGCTCGGTTACCACATGCCCAAAAATACTACAAACAGGGTATAGAAGCCAAGAAGTGCTAGGATTGATTCATTCTGATTTGTGTGGTCCTATGTCGATCCAGACTAGAGGAGGTTTCGAGTACAATGTGTCTTTCATAGATGATTACTCGAGATTTGGGTACGTTTATCTGTTGCACCGCAAATCCGAATGCTTTGAGAAATTCAAAGAGTATCGGGCAGTTGTGGAGAAGCTTCATGGTAAATGTATCAAGTCACTTCGTTCTGATTGAGGTGGTGAATACCTCTTTGGAGAGTTCAGGACATACTTATCGGAAGCTGGAATTGAATCCCAACTGACTGCACCCGGCACGTCCCAGCAGAACGGAGTTGCAGAGTGAAGAAATAGGATTCTTATGGAGATGGTTAGGTCTATGATGAGTTATTCGAGGTTACCAGATTCGTTCTGGGGTTTGGCATTGGAAACAACATCGTATATTCTGAACATGGTTCCATCGAAGTCAGTTGACACTACTCTTTATGAGATGTGAAAAGGGCGCAAGCCCAGTTTCTCACAGTTTCGAGTTTGGGTAGTCCTGCACACGTGTTAGTGCAGGAACCTGGCAAGTTGGAGAAACGTTCAGAAGCACGAGTTTTCATAGGCTATCCCAAGGGAACGAAAGGTGGATTATTTTATAGTCCTGAGGATCAGAAGGTGATCGTTTCGACGAACGCTAGATTCTTAGAAGAAGACTATATTATGAATCATAAGCCCGCGAGTAGACTAGTCTTAGAGGAGTTAAGGGGTGAATTCGATGGTTCCCCACTGAGTGCGCAAGTAGATACATCACATAATACTGCAACACGGCACACTGAGAGTGTACCCGTGCAAACAGTGCCTCGTCGCAGTGGGAGGGTTTCTCATTTACCCGACCGATGGATAGGTCTTGGAGAGTCATCGAACTCAGTTCCAGGAGGCCTATAATCGGACCCAAGAACTTACGATGAGGCACTCCAAGATAAAGATGCAGATTCATGGAATGTTGCAATGAAAGCTGAAATGGGGTCAATGGACTCCAATCAGGTCTGGGATCTTGTAGAACCACCTAATGAGGTTACGACCCATTGGATGTAAGTGGATCTATAAGAGAAAGAGAGGATCGGATGGGAAGATGCAAACCTTCAAAGCTAGGCTTGTTGCGAAAGGTTATACCCAGATCGAGGGTATTAATTATGATGAGACCTTTTCGCCAGTAGCTATGCTTAAGTCCATTCGGATTCTCTTGGCTGTAGCCGCTCATATGGACTATGAGGTCTGGCAGATGGATGTCAAGACAACTTTCCTTAATGGGAACCTGTAGGAAGACATCTATATGCAGCAACCAGAGGGATTCATTGCTGAAGGTCGTGAGCATCTAGTGTGTAAGCTTAATCGGTCTATTTATGGACTGAAGCAAGCTTCGAGATCTTGGAACATCCGTTTTGATGAGGTGATCCAGTCGTACGGGTTCACTCAATGTCCGGATGAGCACTGTGTTTACAAGAAAATCAGTGGGAGCGTGGTGGTGTTTCTTGTGCTTTACGTAGATGACATACTGCTTATTGGAAACAGTAAGAAGGAGTTGTCAGACGTAAAAGGTGTGGTTGTCTAAGTAGTTTGATATGAAGGACTTAGGTGAAGCAGGACACATTCTTGGTATTAGGCTCATTCGAGACCGTAAGAAGAGAATGCTGTGCTTATCCCAGTCTTCATACAAAGATACTGTCTTGGCCAGATTCAGCATGCAGAATTCCAAAAAAGGTATGTTACCTTTCATACATGGAATACGTCTATCTAAGGAGATATCTCCTAAGATATCTAAGGAGATAGAGGAGATTAAGCCTGAGGTTGGAATTTATTCCAAATAAATTATCTTACTACAACAAGTTAAATTTGTATTCTGTGATGTTCATTATATATTGGTTCCGACTCTTTTGTCTTGTTTTTATTTTCAAATAATTTTATTATATTAGAACAGAAGCAGAGAATGTGGGATGAGTTGGGCTGCATTAGCATCACAATGTTAAACTAATCATGCCATTAAATTAAACTAAATTGAGGTTGGCTGACAATGATTCCCATAAAGTAAATTAAATTAATAATATATAAGAGAAAACTACAAGAATTTGCATGTTGGGCCCGGCAGCAGACCAGAGTCTATCCCCATCAGCCCATCACTCTCCTAATTGGGCCCAACTGGGGGCCAGAGCCAATCCCCACCAGCCCATCACTCTCCTCTTTCCATGAATTTGAATCAACTAATACCATTTCTACCGAATCAATTAAAATCAAATATACTTAAATCACCACATATTTGTTCTGTTCATAAATAAGATGCTATTAATTTCTTTATATGGAAGTGCTAGGCTAAACAAGTATACTTTTCCTTTAAACTAGTGTGTACCCCGTGCGATGCACGAGAATAATATTAAATTAACAATATTATAAATAGACCTCGATTTTGAGTCACTCAATGGTGGAAGTGAAAACTACTATTGCTCCTATTTAAAAAGAGGAAGAAAAAAAAATAATTATAAATTAAAAAGGAGGATAAACAAATTATAAATTAAAGATTCGGGGTCAAATAATGTAAAATTATTTTGTATAAGAGAATATGAAAAAATTTGATTACACATCATCTCAAAATTATTATTATACTTTTTTGTATGGTTAGCTTATAATATTTGTAAAAATATTAGTAATTAGTCAGATGAAAATTAACTTCTTAAGGTAGATAATGAATTTCTAGTAGTAATTATGAATTGATTTCTATTTTATTTTTTTTATTTTTTTAATGGTTTTCTAGTAGTAATTATGAATTGGTTTCTATTTTATTTTATTTTTTCAAATCTGTATAGATAAGGGATGAGATTTTTTAAACACGTGAGACGTATGCAATGGGATTTTGTAACAGAAGAGATAAGCTCGTGTAGATTTATACTAAAAAGGAAAAAGAAAAACAAATATTTATTGTCAAACAACGGTTTTGATAAACTAAAAAACAGGATAAACAAATCTTTACACAATTAATGAGCCGATTTTTTTGCCTATTCAGATTTGTCCAACAATTACTATATGTGGGATATATTTAATGATTTTGGCGGGAAAAAGTTTCTAAATTTGTAAAAAGGTTATTCTTTTTATATAATGATAGATTAAAAACTTTGAGATTTTAAAAATCATGTTTTATTTAATTTTAATTTTTAATACTTTAAAAAGTTTTGAGGTAATTATCATTTGAATATATCTTAAATTCTTAACACATATTGAGATTTCAAATACAAAATGCATGTCTAGAATTTCACACCACAGTTTACCTCCTAGATATAAGATTCCAGAATATTAGTTACATAAAACTTTTAAAAGTCTTAAAAGTCATTTAAAGTTTATTTGTAACAAAATCTATATATCTATATAATTGTTGGTAGAGCAATAACTAAAACCTCTATAGGTTTTCCGTTGTTTTTTCAATTAATATGGAACAATTACATTATTCATTAGTAAAATATAATAATAATTTAAACTAATTTATTATGTAATTATTACTACTAATAGTAACTAATTATAAATTTACATTAAATAGTATGTGAAAGTTACATACTTATAAAAAATTGCATTGCAATTTTTTTTTCTTTAAGATACTTATTCTACATTAAATATTATTTTTTTCGTTTTATCAAGCGATTTTTCTCTAATATTAGTTAATTGACATGAGTGTCATAGTTAAACTTCTTAAAATTACATAAATAATTATTATAACAATAATTAAAATAATTATAATATTTTTCTAACTAATTAATTGTATAATCCCTCCAAATTATAAAATTACATTGTCCATTAAATTCATGTCATCAATATAAAGATTCACACGCAATTTGAAGTGAAGGAATATGTAATGTTTTTCTAACTAATTAATTATATGATCCCAAGAATTATAATGAACTAGTACAGAGTCCGTGCGATGCACGGGGTGCACAATTTTAAGGCTATTTATCCAGGCTTATAATTATATACATGCATAAAGAAAAATGTACGGTATATATATAGTACGTGCGAAGCACGAGATATATTTATTTAGAGAATATTATATTATAAAATGCAATATTTAATAAAAGTTTATAATACAAAAGAAATTGTACAATGTTCAATAAAAGTTTTATAATATTCAAGGGGAGTCTTAAAGTCTCTCGTACATTAAGACTACTGACAAAATAATATTTTAATCAATGAGTTTCCTTTCCTTGTAGCCAAATTGTGAATGTGATTTGAGGAGTACAACAAATCGATATATAGCTGACTTGCTTTTTTCATTGTAGTTTTTTTTCTTTTTTTTTAAATGAATTTAAAGATATTCTAAAATATAGCAAAAATTAATTTTTTTATTACAATTAGGAATTTTACTAAATATAAACTCTCAATTATCAAATAAGCCAAAGTGTACATTTTTGTTTGGTATTTGAATTTTTTATTATTAAAATATTTTTATTATACTTACCTTTTTAAAATAAAATAAATAAATTAATTAATTAAATAAATAAAATATTATAATATCGAAATAGTAATGACATTTAATGCAGTTGACTTTTCTGGATAGTAAATGTAGTAAATAGAATATCCTTTTATATAGTATAATACGGAAATAGTAATGCAATAAATGCTGTTGACTTTTCTGGCTACTTAATTTGGTAAATAGTATCCCCTTTAATTTAAGTATAGATTGAGCACTAGTCACAATTTAAATTTTCCAATTTAAATTAGGAATTAGCTACTTTGACTTGATTTGTACATGTGTATTGTCGCTTTATATAAACCACATTATTCCAATCAACACGTTGTTCAAAAATAACTTCTCAAGGCATAAGTCAATGGGCCAATTGTTTAATGACACGTAAATATTCATACTCGTTATTGGTTGACCTAGATGTATAATTTAGTCTTCGAGGGCGTGCATTTTTGTAAACAAAGTTGCCATCACATTTCCAAGTGGGTTATGTGAAACAATTTATTTCTCGGTCCCCATTTAAATTTCCTTGGTTATTAATTTCGGCATTTCCTTTGAATTTTGTTAATTGTATTTTAATCCTTTCTCAATCTTACTAGTGCGTATCCCGTGCGATGCACGGGTAAACAATATTAGTTAATGATTATATATTAAAGATGAAGTTAAATAATATTAACTAATAATTATAAATTAAAGATGTGAACTTCATACGTAATATAATTTATCGTATATGAGTTGTAAACAATATATAATTATCTTGTATAAAAGAATTTGAAAAAAATGATTGTTTAAAGTATTAAAAACGTCTAAAATATTATATAACATATGTAAAAGTATCTAAAATTTTAAATATCATTATTGAAAGATGTGGACTCATCTAAAAATTTTTTAAACTATTTTGTAAAAAAAAACATGCCTAAAATTATTTATATTTAACATATGTATATGTATATGTGTATGTGGACATGTATAATGTGTACAAAATTGTCTAAAAAATATGTTCAAAATTATATAAAATCTTATGAGTCTAATAACAGATATTGTCTCGCGAAAAAAGCAAAGCAAGGCATTGAGATGATATCGATAATTAAAACATAACTTCCATGTAAGTTATAACAAATAAAATAGAATTTTATATCTAAAATTACCATGCTTTATAATTCTTATTCTCTTTTTATGTAATACAAAATCTTATATCACATATCTAAAAAGTATTAAAAATATTTTACATTATTTTTGAAATATCTGTGAAGTCACCTAAATTTTTTTTTAAACTATTTTGTAAGGGTAACAATTTCTTAATCTAGAGAATATGTAAAAGTTTGTCTAAATATTTTTAAATCATTAAGAATACCTAAACTATTATATAAAGTGTGTAAAAGTATCTAACATATTATATATTATTCTTGAAAAATATGAAATTATCTCATTCTTTTGCTAAACTATTTTATAAAAAAAGTATCTAAAATCACTTAAAGTTAACATTTCTCTCTGTATATATATACACTTTAACGAATGTGTAAAAAAAATTACTCAAACAACATGTTTAAATTATATATAATATTATATATAAAAATATATTTAGAGTTATATCCACTGTTATATATTATAGTCTAAAAAACCGTTGGTCTAACAAACATTAATAATTTTAAGAAAAAATATTAGTAATTACAAATAACATAAAAAAATAATTAGACAATACAACATGCGCTAATCTTTTTATATAGTAGATATCCTAAAAAAATTTATTAGAGGACTTATATTTTGGAGAATTGCTTTTTTATATAGTAGATACCCTAAAAAAATTTATTAGACAACAACTCGACTTATATTTTGGAGAATTGATTGAGCAAGGTATTCGTGATTTTAAATAAAATCCGGATAGAGTTTTGGAGAGGCCGATTTTTTTAAGTGCTGACATTTAATTTATAAGATTCTTTAATTTGTGAAGGATTGAAAATCAAAATTCGTGGTATTATTATTTCTTAATATAAAATAAGTGTTATATTAAGGAGATTTAATAGGATAAGATTTTTTAATGGGATAAGATTTTCTAACCCAAAATCAGTGCATTGGTCAATTACAAAATAACAACATCCCAAAAATCTTGGAAAGCATTAATTGCACAGGGAAGCTTTAAAAAAAATATTTATTACCATTAATGGCAAGTAATTAATGCAAAACATGTTGACTAAGAATTTGACTTACCATTTCTAAAAAATGGTTATTCTTTTTATATAATGATAGATGAGCAATCTTTGAATATCCAAGTAGCGTATATATGCATATGACAAGATAGGACGAGATTGGATATTTTGAATTTTTTTGATTGATATGACAATTATAAGTTCTGATGAATTCAAAATAATTTTTGCTTTGCATTATGTTAGAAAGTAGGGAATTTTGCTATATAAAATGGTTTTAATATTTTTTTCTTCAACAATATGATTGATTACTAGTCAAATGTTTTCCCCAGACATTCAAACAATATGTTTCATTTGGATACTTCATTAATAGCATTTTAACCATTTTTAACTCCATAATTGTGATATTCATATACTCCACATGTAGTGTTGTAATCGAACTGAACGAGCTGAGTATGAGTATTTTGAGCTTATGTTTGTTTATGTTTCGGACATAGTTTGTGTTTGTTTATTGCTGAAATCTCCACATTCGTGAAATTGTCCGTGACCGCACCAATATCCTAAATAATGATTAAAGTTGATGAAGAGTAGTTTATGTAAAATATAAAAATGGTAGCAAGTCATATATATATATATATATATATATATATATATATATCTCTTATCTATATATGAAGGAGTTTGGCCTTCTATATAATTGACACATGTCCATTTTTTTGTCTTTAAAAGTTGACAAGTGTCCCTTTTTTTTACAGTTTTGCCACTGCACTTTCAAGAGCATGTTTTAAATTTTTAATTGCCTAATTCATTTTTTTGTACTAAATTGCCCTTTGTTCTGGTGATTGTTGTTGCCCTTTTTTAGCTTGTTGCCGTAATTTGGCAGATAACTTGTTTTTATTTTTATTACTTCATGTTCCTTCATTTCAGCATATTTCTCAACTTTTCAACCGGAGATCGTGCATAAAATCTGCTTCAAGATTTCTTTTTACCTTTTCTTCTTTCCCAGAAATCACTCGCGGCTTCATATTTTTTCTTTCCCGAAGCATTTCTTTCTTCTGTATTAACACGCCATCTCTCTTAGCCGATTACAGAATGAAACTCGACCTGCCAGACCAATAAAAATCTCATCGCCGATTGCAGAATGAAGCCCGCCTCATACATACGAGTCATGACAATTGTATAGAAAACAAAGATAGATCTCCCTGAATCTATTTATGCATTTTAGGGCTTTTGTAATTGGAGCTTTTGATTTCACGGGTGTCAATTTGTGTAATCCAATAGTTACTTTTTTCTTTATTAAGGAAATTCGGCTGATGGATCCAAAACCCTCAAAGTTGTATGCGTCTTCCTCTACGCGCGTATTAAGATAAATCTTATTTTAGCTAATGTTTGTTCCCTTTCAATTTGCCTGTTTTTATTTTGCCGTTCTATCGTTTTTCCACTTTCCCAATTGGTCAAAAAATTCTGAATTCCAACACCAAAAAATTGGAAGTTAGGGTTTGGGTTATAAGGATCGAACCGATTTGAGTCAGTCCGAGTGCGAATTGGATTTGACTAGAAAGTATTTCGCGATTTATTAACGGAAGTGAAAGCGAAGGAGCTGCGCCAGAAATCAGTCGATTCCTCAGCCTTTCGCGCCATCGTGTACTAGCCATCGTCTCCAAGCTAATTCCTTTTGGTTGGCAAGCTATGGTTCGAAGTGTGCCGAACTAAGGTGACATTTTAATTTTGAACTTTTTCATTGCATAATTCTTCTTCTTCTGCCGCGCTTTTTCTTGTTCTGCCGCTATGATCAATTTCTTTGCTGGTGGTATTTTGTGTAGGTATCAGGTAATTGGTCGAGGCTACCTCCGGCCCCTCTTAATGGGTATTTGTGTAGACGCGAGTTCGATGTTTTCAATGTGTTCTCCGATAAGATTAAAGGGGAAGTTGACAGGTAAGTTTGTTCCTTTAAGAAGCAAAAATTTTCAATTTCGTACGTTTTAGTTGATAGTTGGAATTACATTGTTGCTTGTTTATCCAATGCAATTTGTTTGTCCTAATTTTCGGTTGTCTAACTACCTGTGTGGGCGAGTTATTGTATGAGTAGAGATGCATTCTTCTTATAATTAATGTTTGTTGGTGAAGCCATTTAACATTTTGACGTTCTTTTCTACATTAAAGTTGTAAGCTTGAGATGATATGCTGATTTATTTGCCTGTAGGAATCAGGATTTTGAAAAATCCACATGAACATGCTAATTGCTACATTAGTTTTACATCCGAACAAGTTTATCAAGAAGCTGCTTTATCAGGCTTGGTGCAATTATGCCAGCACGGGTCGAGCGTGTGATGAGGCAGAGCGATTTCGACCACTACACAAAGAATGAATGTAACAAGACTATGACATCATCAAGAAGCCGTGAAGTCTATGAAGTGGATCTCCCAAAAAGTACGACAAATTCCAAAAAAGTGCTCAAGTCATAGAATATGAAGTTCTTTCTGACTTATTGGAATCTGAATCTATTGCCCCGAGAATAAATGCGGCCAAATTCGGTGAATTTTCTGATGAGCAGCGAAGTAAAAAGGATTCGACTCAGTAGACCCAAGTAATTTATCAAGATTACCGACTACCAAAAAGAGAAAGGCTTGCAATAGGAACGGTCAGAGGCCTAAACCACGAGATAGTCAGCTGAAGCATGAAGCATTAGCGACTCAAGGAGTTTTGGGACCTTGTGCCAAACAATGAAAACGCATGGCTTATCTCTCTCTCTCTCTTTCTCTCTTGTATATCTTTCTTTCGCTTTAGTTTCAAAATATTATTTTTTGACATGTTTTTTTTTTTTTTCTGCTTTGGATGCAGTGTAGCATTGGTGGACTTCTAGATAAGACAATAAAGCACTTGCCCTTCTCGGTGGATTTGTTGTTGGTTTGAGCACGTGGCGTGTTTAGGTTATAGCTATCTGTGTGATGGAGTAATTAGGATTTCTTTTTTTTCCTGACTTAACAGGCCATGAATAACAGTCTAATAGAAACCACAAATTGGTAAATACACTTATAAGAAAAACAATGCAAACTCATCTCTCATTGTGGTGCAGCTAGCGGATTTTTTACCAATTGTTTTTCTTATGTAGAGCAGCTAGCTATGGTTATTTTTGCATTGTGGGCAGGTAATTTTTTGTGCTCTTTCAGTTTTCTGTGAGTGCCTTTTGTTTCTAATCTCTTATAATATCTTTGCCTTTTAACGGGAAAGGTTGTAGACTGCTGTGTATGTGGACACCCGAGATCTGTTCTTCGTGTTGCTTTCGTAGAGTCCACTGATCAAGGTAATCTATTAAAATGCCTACATTCATGAGTGTTGGAAATTTGTGGGTCTCTTACATTTGCACATTATTTGAATATTGATTCGACTCCTTCACATTCTTCAAATTATTAACTTCAGACACAAGTTGAATGAGAGATGTGCTCAAGAGCAGTCTATGTTACTAATATCGATAAGAAGGTATGTGAGTATACGATTGTTATACCATCTCGCTCAATCAATGTGACAGAAAGAAAGAAAACAAGACTCTGAAAATGCGATTTCCATTTCCTTTTTTCTTTGTTTCTATTTTATGTTTTTAGGTTTCTCAAATTAGAGTGAAGCACTATTTTGAAAGTCTTTGCGGGGAGGATTGTGGTTCTGTAATTAAAATTTCTTTATGGCCTCATGTTTTGTCCAACTGATTCTGAGTTTAGTGTTTTCCTAAATAGTTATTCATTAAGGTATATCGCTTGAGGCTGGTAGAATATAATCACCATTGTTCACGAATCGCATTTGTGGAATTTGTGGCGGTAGCAACTCTGATCTTCTTCAGTAATTTTTTAGCTTCTACGTCAATAAATAGCATTCACAATCGTCTTTTTGTCAATTATTGGCTTACCTTTTGCAATTCTTTGACAAGATGCACAAACAAAATGAAGCTTTATTAATTTTTGGTTGCATCAATATAGTAGTTTATTATGAATTTCTGTTTGCACTTACTTTAAAGTTGCTATTATTTTGGTTAATAAATGTACTCGCTTAATTTTTTCTTGACATCTGGCTATGAGTAACAAAAAAAAAAAAAACATTGTTTACATGCTGTTTTTAGGACTATGAATTTCACATGCAATCATTTGCCTGGAAGTTTTAAAGACCATTTGAAATAGGCGATCATATTTGTGAATAGATTGTGTTCGCTGTGCAAAATCTGAATTATGGTATGTTCTTGGGACGACAAATTTACAGTAAATTTTGGACTAAAATTGAGCCGGCCGTGCGTGCACGGCCGTAAGACCACTAGTATATATATATATATATATATATATATATATGCATGCATCATCAATATATAGAGTAGTTTTGCATTTCCATTGTTTCATGCTCTGACTAAGTCATGTAGCTAATGAACGCTTATCAACTTGGAGTATGTGTGCATAACAATAAACATGGGCCTAACCCTAACACACACATTAATCCAATGTTTGACTTGGCCACTATATTGAGTATAAATGCAACTTTTATGAGTTGAGTAACGTTGACCATTTTTTGGTTAAACATGGAAAGAATGAGAATAATTAAACAATGGTAAGCAAATACTGCAACTAAATATCAAACAAGTACAACGAAAAATTCTTGGATGTTGCCAAGAAATTAACAAGTAAAAATGATAACTACTTATAAAAAAGGAATATATATTAATTTACATGTGTGTGTATGAAATCGGAAAAATTTCAAAACTAGTCCCACAGTTATAGGGGGGGTGACAATTTTTGTCCCAATGGAATGCAGAAAATATGAATAGTCCCACAACTTTTAAAAAATGATCAAAAGTAGGACTTTTTCGCCGGATTTACTATTTCCGGCCCGGAACGCCACGTGGCATCCGACGTGTTCATATTCTTTTACAAGTTGTGGGACTAGTTTTGAATTTTCTGCATTCCATCGGGACAAAAAATGTCACTCCTCTAAACTTGTGGGACTAGTTTTGAATTTTGTCCTATCTAGGAAAAAATTCAAAACTAAGCCACGTGTGCGCCAGCGTGTAAAGAATAAGTCACGTGTGCGCCACGTGGCGTTCTGGGCCGGAAATAGTAAATCCGGCGAAAAAGTCCTACTTTTGATCATTTTTTAAAAGCTGTGGGACTATTCATATTTTGTGCATTCCGTCGGGACCAAAATTGTCACCCCCCTATATCTGTGGGACTAATTTTGAATTTTTCCCGTATGAAATCGACGCTGCAGTAATATGTCTAGTACTTGTTAGATTTTGATACTTCATTATGAATTTAATTGAATTTTGAAGCTATATGTTTATCACACCAAAAATGTGATGTTAGTGCGCAAGGGTATTATTGTATATATTATGAATATGTGGTGAATTAAAGATAATGAATTAAATGAATTCTAAAATAAAAATTTAATTACGTTGTTGGAAAAAAAATATAAAAATAATGGAAATGGATTTAATTACATCTATATTTTATTTTTATATTGTTCATTTAATGTGCATATTTTGAAACACCCTGCGTACGTACATATCATTTTAAATTAGACGTAATTCATGATCACTTTCATGAGCAATGTTACAGAAATTACTCCATTAATTTCAGTGAGCACCAAGCAACATTTCATACATGCAATAATTTTTGGTTAATTATTGACATTGACTTATTCGCACTCAATTCCGCTGGAAATAGGTTAATATTTCATATAAGTATATCTGTTAAATAATTGCACGTGTTTTCTATTTTCCTCAGTTTACGGGCATGGAATATTAAAACACTCGCTCAGTAATATGTTTGTTGAACCCGTTAGGCGTTAGCATAATAATCTGCGTGATTGTGACGAAATCTTGTACCGAATATTGATGTTATATAATGGCAACGGGACTCTAAGACGCTTTCGAAGCAGTTCATAAAAATATTAATTGCATCTATCATCTATATATATTGAAAAAGAGAGGTCAATAAATCAAATGAGTAAAGTTTAAAAAAAATGTCAGTCAATCAAGTTGACTTACCGAATATGACAATGTTTTAAAATGTGAAATTCAAAATTGTGATTTGAAATTTTGATTCCATATTGCGGCTGAATCTCCTTATTTATCTGCATTAGTTACTATCTACGTTTTTTAATTGGCTTAGCACTATCCAAATTAGAGAAAATCTCTTTCAAAATTAATTGGTGGAACCGATCAAAATCAGATCTAATTATTCTCGCATCTCTCCAAAAAAAATCTGATCCCAAATGTTTCTCGCCATCTCTCCCAATTCTCCTAAAACCAAATCTCCCAGATCAAAACGAATCACATCCAAATTTCCCCGTCGGCATCAATCTCCAATTAGTCGCTAGAGAATCTCTGGATTTGCGTACCGGAGAAGTTGCGGGCGATGATCGGGAAGATTGACGCCGACGAGTTCGGCGCCCTGTAAGCAGCGGCAATGAAACCGAAGTGAAAAATCGATTATAATTCATGCTATGTTGTTCGTTGTGCTTCGTCGAGCCTTTCTGCTTGCTTATCGAGTGTATGTATTCGGGGGGATTTAGTTTTTTAACGTGTGTTTTTTT